TTACACGTCGTAAGCAGTAGCGGACGGATAGATAGGGACATCCGAACGTTCGCGAGTCAAGACGAGGAGATAACGGAACTCCTCAAACGGCAGTACGAGATCGATTCCATCGGTATCTCGCTAAGGAATAGGCCGCGACGGGAAGAGGAACGCGCTGTCGAGATATTCCAGCGCACCGTCAAGAAGGTCGGCGATCAATACCAGGTGGGACTGCCATGGAAGGACGACGACGTGCGGATGCCTCCTAGCTACGAGATGGCTGCTAGAAGACTGCGGACGATCGAGAGGAAAATGGACAAATCGCCGGAATTTCGAGACGCCTATACCGCGCAAATAGATAACCTCCTGGCGAAGGGATACGCAAGGGAAGCCGAGGGGACGGAGAGAGAGGACCCTAAGAGCTGGTACCTACCCCACTTCGCAGTACGAAACCCGAACAAGCCTGGGAAGACGAGAGTGGTTTTCGACGCGGCAGCGCGTGCGTCCGGTAAATGTTTGAACGATTATTTGCTTGACGGCCCCGACTTGTTACGGAACCTACCGGGCATACTGTTCAGATTTAGGGAGAACGAAATAGCCGTGTCAGCGGACATTAGGGAAATGTTTCTACGCGTTAAGATTGACCGTCGCGACCAACCCGCGCAATTATTTCTGTGGCGAGGTAACGAGCGATCCAGCCCACCGCGGGAATACGTTATGACTTCAATGATTTTCGGTGCGAGGAGCTCGCCGTTTCTCGCACATAGCGTTAGGGATCATAACGCGCGCGCACACGCTGAGACACATCCGTTGGCACTTAACGCTATCGTACGTAGTCACTACATGGATGACTACCTAGACAGTTATGCTACGGTAGAGGAAGCGGTAAACACTGCGAGGCAGGTTACGGAAGTCCACCAGCAGGCAGGCTTCACCTTAGCGGGCTGGAATTCGAACCACGCAGCCCTACTAAAGGACAAGCCGGAGGAATTATTAGCGAGCAAGCCTAAGGAGGTAGGCTTGAGACAAGACAGCCCAGGCAGAACCCTAGGGCTATTATGGATGGCCAATGAAGACGCCTTAACGTTCAACACATCCATGAACCGGGTACCGAACGAGGTGAAGACGCTGCAGAGGCCACCGACCAAGAGAGAGGCGTTGAGTGCAGTCATGTCGGTCTTCGACCCGCTTGGACTGCTGAGCTACCTCACCATCACCGCCAAGATCCTTCTGCAAGACCTGTGGCGGATGAAGAAGGTCGGATGGGACGACGAACTACCCGAGGAGGCAGCTGAGGAATTCCAGGGGTGGCTGCGAGTCGTCGAGGAAGTATCACGACTGCGGCTGCCTAGGTGCTATGCTCCTACGGGGGGAGTGGTAGAGCGTCAGCTCCACGTGTTCAGCGACGCAAGCGAACGTGCGTACGCATCCGCGGCGTATTGGCGATTACGATACCGCGACGGAACGGTTAAGGTACGATTAGTGGCGGCCAAGGCGAAAGTCGCCCCGATAAAGGCGCAAAGCATACCACGGTTAGAATTGCAGGCGAATCTGATAGGCGCGCGACTCGCGGAATTCGTGCAAGGCGAGCACAGAGTGGTAGCCGATAGGGTAGTTTATTGGACAGACTCCACTACGGCGCTCCATTGGATTCAAAACGATACGGCGCGTTACACCCCATACGTAGCACATAGATTAGGGGAAATATCGGAGAAGACGTCACCCGAGCAATGGAGGTGGATACCGACCGCAGACAACATCGCGGATCAGGCAACGCGCATTAATTATACGTACAAGGAAGAGAGCGACAAATGGTTTACGGGACCGCCATTCCTGTACGAAGAGGAAGATCGATGGCCTCGACGACGGGAAGAGAAGGCAGGGGATGAAGATGACGAGATGGAGGAAGTCGTGGCGCACCAGAGCGACACCAGGGGCGCTCCACACCTGCCAGACATCGAGAGGTTCTCTTCTTACGAGAGATTGGTCAGGGCCACCGCTCGGATATTACAGTTCGTCGATGCCATGAGAGGAAAGGCGCACGGACTAACATTGGACCACATCCATAAAGCAGAGCGGATGTGGATAGAGCGAAGTCAACAAGAGAGTTTTGCTGAAGACATCAGTCGACTGCAGAAAGGAAGGAACTTGGCAACCGGCAGCGCGTTAAGGAAGCTCGACCCCATATTCGAAGATGGCGTACTGCGAGCTAGAGGACGGATTGACGCAGCCAATGTGGACAGCCAAATGAAGAGGCCCATCATCCTGAACGGACGCCACCAGTTTGTAAAGCTGCTTGTGGAAAAGGCGCATAAGGAAGCAAGCCACGCCAACAGGGAACGGGTAGTGAACGACCTACGCACGAGATATCACATACTTCGACTACGACCGACCGTACGAGAAGTGGAGCGGAGATGTCTGCGGTGCAGGGTACGCAAGGCGACACCACGGCCAGCGGTTATCGGAGATGTACCACCTGAACGGTTAGGGGCATTCGCGCGACCATTCACCTACACCGGAATCGACTATTTCGGGCCTATAACGGTAACAATAGGACGTAGGCATGAAAAACGGTGGATAGCGTTATTCACTTGTTTGACGACGCGCGCGGTACATCTAGAGATAGTTTATTCCCTAACGACGGACTCGGCGATATCGGCATTGCGGCGCATGGCGGCTAGGCGTGGGTGGCCACGGGTCATCTACTCGGATAACGGGACAAACTTTCATGGGGCGGACACCGAATTACGACGGGCGATGGAAGAGTGGGCACCCCTGCTGAAGGACTACGCGTTGACTCGGCGGACGGATTGGAAGTTCATCGCGCCGGGTGCGCCGAACCAGGGAGGCGCATGGGAGCGTCTCGTGCGCTCGGTGAAGACCGCGCTCGAAGCCACACTCAATCAGAAGAGCCCACGGGAGGAGACACTAGCGACGCTCCTCACAGAAGCCGAAAACACCGTTAACTCTCGACCGTTGACGCACGTACCGGTCGACATCGACGAAGAAGAGGCATTGACACCCAACCACTTCTTGCTGCTGGGACCATCGAGCCTTCCAGTGACCGCGCCGTGCACGCCTAATGATCGTCGGGCGTGGAGAGCGGCGCAGGGACTTGCCGACGAGTACTGGAAGCGCTGGGTGAAGGAGTACCTGCCGACGCTGGTTGCGCGCGGAGACTCAAGGGACGTGCAGCAGCGCCCGGTACAAGAAGGAGACCTCGTCGTGGTGGCAGACGGGACCATGCCGCGGAACGTGTGGCCAAGAGGAGTTGTAACGAGGACCTTTCCCGGACCAGACGGCGTGGTACGGAACGTTGAAGTGAAGACCAGGGGCGGATTGCTGCGGCGGCCGGTCAGGAGGATCGCCGTCCTCCCGAGTGCAGCCTAGGCTCGCAAGGCTACGCCGGGGGGAGAATGTTACGGACAGCGAGAGACCCGCCGCCCCGTCGCCCCTTCGTTCCCCGTTACGTCCCGCGCACCCCGCACGCCGGCGCTGATCACGCGATATCGGGCAGCCAATCAGCGCGCGTGCGGGGAATATTGCCATCGGGCGGCCAACCCGACGAAATGAAGCGCTCTTCTCGGAAATATAAGAAGGGCGCCTCGGACGGTCGTTGTTCATTCGGGTTCATTCGGATCATTCAGAAGCATTCAATCGGAAGCGGCAAGGAAGAATCAAGACAGAAGACTCCATACTGAAGACCTCCCTTTTGTATAGTGATTAGTTAATGTACCGAACCCTTGTAAATAGTGAATATAGTATAATTAAAAGTACCATCTTTTCTTCGAGCAGTCCCCTAGTATAGCTAACCTCACACCGACAGTTAAAATACCAAATACAGTCCACTACTCTCCATCCACTTTACCGCCAGTATAAGCTTGCCAGCATCATTAACCCTTTTATCGCCAAACTTTCCAAGTACCGACTCGTACCCTGGTCGAGCGGTACCAACCCATCCATTCAAATCACCACATACAACAATCCTTTCGTTTCCCCTAGCCAAATCTAGAACTTCTCTTACATTCTCCCAAAACTCCTCCAGCTCAGCCCTGGACGACGAAGCCACCGGCGCATAAACAGCCAAAAGGAATAACTTCGTCAGTCCCAATTTAAAGCGAACCCAGAGAAGTCTTGAGTTCACAAACTTATATTCAGTCATAACATCGACCAACCGAGAAGACAGCAGCACCCCCACTCCCTGGCAGGCGTTCTCGCTCTCCGGGACTCCGGACCATAGAGCTAACGCCCCGCCAGGGAGCTCTTCAGTACCACTGCCCTTCCGTTTGGTCTCCGACATACACACGACATCTAATTCTCTTTCTTTCATTATTTCGATCAACTCATTCGTCTTATCTCTCATGCCTCCTCTAACATTCCACGTGCCAACTCTGCACTCTGTCCTCCACCTTCCGCCGTGTCGGGCTGTGCGTGACGGGTGGCGGTCCCCATCGCCGCTTTGCGCGCTGCATTCCACACCAACGGGGACGAGCTGGTGTGCGTCGCCTTGGGGGGACGCCCTAACCCTCGTTGACATGGGTGCGCAGCTGAGTAGAATTGCAGCCCTGAAAAGGGCTGGCAGGGGTCGCGACGAGCACGCTTCTACAATGACCCCCTATATAAATTATGTGTACCCACTGTACCCACTTATATAAATTATTTTTTTATAACAACAAAAAATAGTACAAAAGGTTTGTAATCTCTTCATAAAAAAGTCATTTTCTCTCAATTTCAAAGAAAACGCGTAAAAAACACGTAGTTACCCACTAAAAACAAGTATCCTTCCATTTGTAACTTATGTTTGATGTCAAATAAACTTAATTAGGTCTAAACAAGTAAAAAAAGCATAAAAAAGAACATTACTTTTACACATGGCTTGTCTGTTACACCAGGCGTGTCATGAAATATTTGTTCGCCGCCACAGCTAAAAGTTGTCGAAAATTGGTGCCGCAACGAATTGGTTAAATAGCTTTAGTCCATTTTCTATTTACGTAATTTAAATCTTATTTTTTTCTTTTTTTCTGATTTTGCACTCATCTCATCTGTTCCCGTTCTCAAACGACCGTTTTCTATTTCATGTAATAATAAATAATTTATGAAATACAATTTGGACTTTTTTTCGATTTAAATATATATATTTCTTTTTAATTTTATACAGTAATTTTGATTTTGAATATACATATTTTTTAATTTTATACAGTAAAGTCAAAAACATAATGCGTGGAATGAAGCATCCATTAATTAATATTTGGATTGTCTGGGTCTTAGGATAAGCTTAGCTTAATCTTACACCGATACAGCTATAAATTCAGAATCTAAGATTATGCTAAGCATATACTAAGCAAAGTTTTTCGTAAGCTAAGTGTGAGCTAAGTCAAAGTACGATCTATAGATCTCTGCCTAAGATGGAATGCCTGACAGCCTATAATTTTACTGGCCTCTATACCCGTCAGACCAGAACACGACACTGTTATAAGGCCTGTACCGGAGTAAATGAGAGTGCACAAGCTTCATACAAGTATTACGAAACATACACACACGTGTGATATTCGATAGTCTGCTATTGTAGGTGAACCACGAGGCATGAGTCCACCCTTTGTATAAATCGCGGCACGAAAGTCTAGCGCTGAACGAAACGTGGAGGGGATAGCTGCGCATGGGTACTGCTGTTACACGAATGCGACTGGAGAGCCAATTAGCGCGTGCGAACGACGCACGCCCACCCGACGACCCGCTTACTACCCCATGATACCTTATGCGCAATAACGGTCACCGCTAGACTTTCGTGCCGCTACTTATAATCCCTTTAATTAAGGTGTACAATTAAGAATAAATAAATAAGAACCTATTAAGAATTGCTGAGGTCTGTTGCATTACCTAAGGGGTTTAATACAATGATGACTAAGTTGATAAAGTGGGTAGAACAAATAACACCCACACCTCTTCTTATTAACTTGCATTCGGGGATTCTGCCGTTTGATTGATAGTCACACATGTTTCAGCAATTTTCAGATCTATTTTAATTAACTTGTGTAGCTTCATTCGCCTCATTTTGGTAGGCGAAGTATAGGGTGACCCCCCACTAGATGGAGTGACCACCTGGTAAGACATGCAGGAAGTTAATGGATTTATGTGGCCCAGGATAGTGCTTTGCGGCATTCCTTGGGGGAGGCCTATGTTCAACAGTGGATTTGTGAAGGGCTGTAATGATGATGATGATCATGAGTTTCCTTAATAATTTTAACGTCTTCTGTGTTTGTGTTTATATAAATTTGTTTTGTTTTGTTCACTGGTAAGTAGTGTTAATTAATTTACGTGTCATAATTAAAACAAAGCCTAATGAAGGATAAAGAATAATTCTTTATGTGAGTGTGGTCTTGATGAAGGTTCCACCAACCACATATTCTTCGTATGTCCACAACTTCAGTTCTCCCTGTGTGATATTTTTCCCCAAAACGTCCCTCATCTTACTAATTCAATTAGTTTGCTGTCCCTTGTGTTTTCCTCATTTGTTCATATTTCATGTGATTTCATCTATACTAATAATAAATCATTGTTGGTGGAAGGATATTAAATGTTTGTTTTGTCTGTTGTTGTAGATTAGAAAGCTCTTACAAAACAATTATTTAAGTATACATGACAAGTTTTCATTTACTTTATTGTCACTCTTTGACTTGACATTGGCAGAAGTATATTAAGAAAAGCCATAAAGTAAAGATAAACTTGCATTAGACTTACTGGGTCAAACATATCGGACTGGGACAGTTCAGTCTTGAAGTCAGCGGAACCCGCCAAAATCAGTCCTACTACGTTGGGACGGTCTACACTGATGAACAATTGTGTAGCAACCTCTGCAACATTGCGCACGTAGTTGTGACGCTTTTCCATTCGGAGACGGGCGAAACGCAACGCAGACTGACTACCACGACCGTGCTTCTTCGGCAGATCTACAGTGAACTTGTGGAGCACCTGTAAGTTGATATTTCTTTTTATAATAACTTTACTTAATAATAATGTGCTTCAAAACGAATTTCGGTCGCTACGGCCAACCTCAATAGCCATCTGTGCAGGATGGAATAACAGGTGCATCTCTGTTCCCTCACTCTAATTGTCCGATGAGACATCAATTCAAATTATCTTTTTTTTATAGGATAGTGTGACAAACGAGCACAGTCCACCTGATGGTATGTGGTTGCTGTGGCTCATAGACATCTACATCTATCCTCGTTTGCGAATCAAAATTCAGATGTGTTGTCACCCGTGAGGATTAAGATGGAATGCCTCTTTTCCAGTAAAAAGGGTCTCCGGTTCTCTACACTCACCATATGAAACACAGCAGTGTTAAGCTGCTGTTTTACGCTGGTATTCAAAGTCAAAAAGCACAGGGGTGAAACACCAACTATTACCTGACTATAGCCTACTTCTCGGGCTGGCTTGGACACAAACCCAGGAACACGTGATCAGCAGTGAAGCTGATGACCACTTGACCAACAAGGCAGTCAATGGTTGATAGTTAATAACAATGAAAATACATAATATAAGAAGAAAATCAGTAATTAGTGTAAAACAAAAATTATTAGTATTCATACATCCATCCGGATCCCCATCTGCCAAGCGAAGCAACTATGTCAAATATTACCCATATGAGGGAGACCTATGTTCAGCAGTGGAATTTTGAGAGGCTTTAATTATGATTATTATACTAATAATTCGACCAATAGCTGGGCACACGCCTTCTCTGACCACTGGAAGTTTTTTGAGCAGGTAAGGGTCTATTGCACTGTAACAATGTATGTTGGAAAACATGACATATCTTCAAAATATTGTTGCTTCTCTGACATACAGGTTTCCCTTCTCAATACTAATAATAATCAAACAATTAAATTACAATTTTCAGTGGACATGCTGGGATAGAACACTTTTGTGCTATGAAATGACCATATAGTAATGGTGTAATAGTATGCATCACAACATTTTCCCCCATGGGTGAAAAATCAGTGTCAACTGTCAAACAAGTGATACTAGCCAAGCATCAAGCCGTAAAAAAATCTTTAAAAATGCAAAGTACATCAGGGAAAACAAATAAAGAGTGCATATATTGTTTTCATTAAATTAGTAAGTTGCTCGTTCGATCCCTGAAATTATTAAGTAGGAATCCATTATAAAATTTGCTGTTGTGTTAGGTGTTTAAAAAACAATTCATGTATGGATAACATCAATGTATTTTTTGATATATCAATATAACTTCGATGCCACTGTGCAATGCATTAGATCGACGGAAACATCAATCTTTTTTCAACATTCCATCACTATCTTGTTGCACAACTCGTTAAATACGCAGATCGGCTAGGGGGTACAACATTAACAATGTGATATCAGATTGTCATCATCAATATGTTTGCCAATCATTAATGCAAAATGGCAAACCTTTGTAGTGGCAGTTGAATTTATCAGGCTGGTGAAAAAGTAAAAACATACCTAATATGGTAGACAATTTTATATGTGTCTTACCTTAGGACCATCTTACCTCTCTAGTGTTTCCTTGCAGTGTACCAAACAGCGCTCCATTACCATCCATCACAATGAAGCCATACTTATTTTCGTCACCCAGCAACGCAGTGAGGGCTTCAGTATGGAACTTGTCGTCACATAAGGACAGAGACGTATTGATAGGCTTGAATGGCTCAAAATCAATGTTCACTTTCTTCTCCTTGCCCTCCTCAGTAACAATCGTACCACAGTAGATGACTAGACCATTTGGCGGCACTACAATAATAAAAAAAAAACATGAGTACTGCCAAATATTGCTATGGCAAGCTAAAACATGGCTTGCAATCAATGGCACAGCATAAGTAGCTGCCACCTAGAGCCACAAATTCCAACCCCACCTTCGCCCTTATTTTTTTTAGATAAACAATTTTTTGACATTGTCATGGCTTTTCCAAGAATTTGACCACTTCCAGTCTATGAAAGAGTTCAGGAATATTTGAACTTCTCACCATCAGTCAGCCTTCAGAGCCTAGTCCATTAATCAGACAGGTCAAGGAAAAGTTGGTGATTAGGGAGAATCGTAAAATATTCTGATTAAATATTCTGCACTCGTGCCACCACACTACTTAACCTTATCCATGAGGAAGTTGACATATTTGTATGTTCTGTGAGTGAATTCACAAGGGCTGCATTATTTATAATATGTTACAATAATTAAAATGTTTACTGTTTTCACTAGCGCTTTAGGTCATGTAATGTTAGTGATAAGTTTGCCTGAATAAATAAATAAATAAAAGATATTCAGTATATTTAAATCAAGAGCTATGGCAATGCTTTTTACTTTTAATTGCTTTACATATTATATAAAAGACAATGGCAGTCTCCAAATGTATAACCATCAACTTTGACCTCATTTCTTTGCTAACATATGATCACTATAAACGATACTGAATATCTTTACTATATTATATAATGTATGTATTATATTATGTATAGTGTAACTCCTAGATTACTTCAATGAATGAGCATAATATATTTTTGGTTTGGTCAAGATGATTCATATTTATGTTAGGATCCAATAAATAGTGCTGTAGTCATGTTTTTAACAAATTCTATATTTATGGAACAAAATGACTAATCTTCACTTTGTTAACAATGTCGGATTAGTGCCAAAAAAATGCTAAACAGGACCTGCTGTACCACTGTGGTAGAGTTATTTATAAGTTTTGTATTTAGTTATTCAAAAATTGGGAGTAAAAATCATCGAGCAACCTACCAGGAAGGCAGGACAGTGTCTGCCAAGCTAGCTAGTATGTATATGAAAATGTCACTGTGTTAGTCAGTAAGGTTTCAGTTACCTTTAGTATAAAGTTTGAGTCGATGCTGCACAGAGGTGATAGCTTCAAGCACAGAAAGCCTGTTAACATGTGACTTGATGTTAGAGGGTGTTCCAAATTCATCCGCCAACATTTTAGAGACTCGCGAGACCTGATCCTTTGGTGGGATGATCAGTGAAATCATTGATGTTCCATTGCTGAAAGCAGAGAAAAGATACAAACATTATAATTTACAGTAAGGACAGGTTAACTTACAGATTAGGGTCTCTTCCCTCTACAATGTTCCATACTGTGACTGTAACCATATTGGCACATGCAAAAAAAATCGGTTGTCTGTAAAGTCGGTTTACTGACGATAGTTGAACGTGACAACGTCATAAGAAAATGTTGCTATAAACAATTGACACCACATTCATTTTTCACGCTGCCGAACGGCGAGGCCGATTGTGCCGCTTTGTCTCTCGCTTGCACTTCAAGCCTTAAATGGAACGCCTCAGAGCGAGGTAACGCCGCATGAGTCATGTTTTTTCGTGCGTGCAGCTAGCTTCATCGAATTATAAGACGTTGTCACGTCAAAAAACAGTGTGTCATGAAGACACAAGATAGAAGTGAAACTTTTGTATTACAGGGAAACATTTCAATTATTCATCAATGACTTTTGAATAGCATAGATTGTGTATATCATTCATTTATTTACATAAAATTATATACATATGTGTCACAGTGCATCATCTTCTTTGATCTTGAGAAGAGAAATTATCAGTTCAGGCAACACTAGGACTCATCACAGTGAATGAAGTGAGTTTTGGCGGGAACTTGACCGGCGTCGGTTTGCTGCTCCTGTATTATTGTTTAAATAATGGTTTGAAGTGGACTTTGATATGTAAAACTGGTGCGATTTTGTGTATTAAGTGTCTGCGCATGTGAACTATCAGTGGAAACTGTGAAACAAGTGCTCTGATGGTGATGGATTCTCAAGATAAGCTGTTTGTCTACATAGGCGCCTTTAGATACCATCGCCAACTGTCAGCTGTCTGCTGGCTCAAGTTGCCGTCAAAATCTCCCAAGGGCTGCACAATGTGACGCATCAACATATTGTGAAGCAGTGAACTATGAAGGATAATTATACATTTGGGGAAATTATAATAAACCGATTAAAAATACTTAAGACTTGGCCTAAAGGTCTAGATACCAGGCCATAAACTCCAAAAAAAAAAAACAGTGAATGAAGTAATTATTATAGATACCAGTATAACACAAAACACTTTTAAAGTTTGTTAATTAGGTAATTATTTACTATTTATTTAATTTTAATTAAACCAAAGTTTAATATAATGTCAATTAAATGAAAATTTACAAATTGTTATTTAAAATGAACACTGCTCCTCACCACAGTGAATGAATTATTATAGATGCCAGTGTAACACAAAATACTCATTAAAGTTTGTTAATTAGGTAATTATTTATTATTAATATAATTATAATTCAACCAAAGTTTAATATAATGTCAACAGAAATTTATTTAAATGAAAATTTACAAATTGTTATTTAAAGTAAACTGCTCTGCGTTATTGGGCTTCAAAAATTACTTCCCTTATTAATTTTTTTAATAGCGCCATCTACTTCATTCTAGACGTAAAGTCATTTCATTAAACCAAAATTGATTAATTATCATAGTGGTACGTAGAAAATGTAATAGATGGCGAAATTACTCAAATGCGATCACTCTTTCTAAAATAAATACGTGTATGTGTACCTTGGTAACTATCTTAAATAAAATTAATAGATTAGTATTTGAACGAAAGACCGGTATAATCTTGTAATTGTATTACTATGTACTTTATGGTATGTAATGGTCTGCGTTCGCGATTTGAATGATCAACATGAAAGACGCGGTACGTGGTTTTACCCCCACCACTTATTGTCACACAAAAAGGTTGCGGATCAGAATTTCAAAGCCGTCCTGTAAAAAGTTTCACTTGATTTTTTTTTAAATATAAATTAATATGCCACATTGTCAACTAGAGAGTTCCTTCATCCACCAACATTAATTTAAACAATTGTATACTAGGGCTGAAACAACAAATTAAGACAAAAGTATTCGACAAGTTCCAAATACTGGAATGCTTTGTGCATGGTATGTAACAGGATAGTAGATTCTGCTGTCAGAGTGATTGGTAGTCACACGTGTTTCAGCAATTTTCGGATATATTTTTGTGTTGAGCTTCGTTAATATCTTTGTAGTCTTCTGTGTTTGTTATTATATAAATTTGTGTTGTGTTCTTCATTACTTATTTGTTGGTAAGTAGCGATAGTTAATCAATTTATGTATTCTTAACTAACACGATGGACGTTGACGGGGTGTATTCGGAACCACCGGATAAAGACAATCCATCTGGTTTCGGTCCCTCTAAACGAAAATGTACGGATATAACATCAAGCATTCATAAAAAAAAAGTTGGTCATGATGACACGCCTTCAGCGTCATATCAAAACATTTACACCCACCCTGATTTTCTAGAAAAGAAAAAATACACAGATAGTAATAAAGGGCCTTTTACAATTCACCTTAAGCGTATAGAACCTGATCCTTCATCTGGTTATACAATCCGACCTGTCAAGATCGGCCATATCCTATCCCAAAACAAGGTTTCCAATATTGAAAAACAAAGCATAACAAATTTAGGTCGTAACAGGGTCTCAATAGCTTTTAAAACTGCTACAGATGCCTATAATTTTATCGAATCATCCTTTCTTGCTAAATATAAACTATCAGCAGTCATTCCAACCTTCAATGTTACCAGAATGGGTGTTGTTAGAGGCATACCAACCGATATTTCCATGGAGGAGTTGGTGTGTGAGTCGGAACTTCCCCCAGGTAGAGGAGAAATTATAAAGGCTAGGACATTACACCGAAAAGTAAAGAAAGGCGATGATATTGAGTGAGTGGCCACCCAAACCGCAGGCCAAGAGCTTCCTTCTCACTTATACTGCTTTTACACCTCAATTCCTGTCGAAACCTATATACTCCCTTTCATACAGTGTCTGAAGTGTTGTCGCTTTGGACATGTAAAGGCTCAGTGCAGATCAAAGCCACGCTGTTTCAAATGCTCAAAAGAACACACTGGAGATAATTGCGTTACAGATATCCAAACATGCCTGTTCTGCTCTGCTATCATCATCATCATCATCATTACAGCCCTTCACAAGTCCACTGCTGAACATAGGCCTCCCCCAAAGAATGCCACAAAACACGGTCCTGAGCCACCTGCATCCATCGACTTCCTGCATGTCTTACCAGGTCGTCACTCCATCTCGTGGGGGGACGCCCTACACTTCGCCTACCGGTACGAGGCTGCCACTCGAGAACCTTTCTTCCCCATCGGTTGTCGGTTCTTCGAGCTATATGGCCGGCCCACTGCCACTTCAGCTTACTAATCCGTTGGGCTATGTCGGTCACTCTGGTTCTACTGCGGATATACTCATTCCTAAGTTTATCACGCAGAGAAACTCCGAGCATAGCCCTCTCCATAGCTCGCTGAGCGACCTTGAGCTTCCTCATACGGCCAGCAGTGAAGGACCACGTCTCAGTTCCGTAAGTCATCACTGGCAACACGCACTGATTGTACAATTTCGTTTTAAGGTTTTGAGGTATGTCTGACGAGAAGATGTGTCGTAGCTTCCCGAATGCTGCCCAGCCGAGTTGAATCCGTCGATTGACCTCTCGGTCGAAGTTGGACTTACCCAGTCGGACTATTTGTCCCAGGTAAACATACTCGTCAACAACTTCGAGCTTAGTGTTCCCAACAACTACCGGCATAGGTGTGACATGGACATTAAACATGATCTTAGTTTTGTCCATGTTCATCTTAAGACCTATCCGTTGGGAAACACTATTGAGGTCATTGAGCATAGTGCTTAGGTCCTCCAGCGATTCTGCCATAAGGACTATATCGTCGGCAAATCGAAGGTGAGTGATGTACTCGCCATTGATGTTGATACCGTATCCTTTCCAGTCCAGAAGCTTGAAAACGTCTTCCAATGCAGCGGTGAAGAGTTTCGGGGATATGACGTCACCCTGTCTTACACCTCTCTGCAATTGGATAGGTTTCGTACTCTGGTTCTGTACTCGGATAGCCATCGTAGCCCTACTGTACAAGCACTTCAACACTTCGATATATCGACAGTCAACTTGGCACCGCTGAAGGGACTGCAGCACCGCCCAAATTTCGACGGAATCAAAGGCTTTCTCATAGTCCACATACGCCAGACATAGTGGCAAATTGTACTCTTCGGACTTCTGTACAACTTGCCGAAGGGTATGTATGTGGTCTATGGTGCTAAAGCCCTTTCGGAAACCGGCTTGTTCGGGAGGCTGGAAGTCGTCAAGTCTGCGCGCGAGACGATTCGTAATGACTCTCGAAAACAGCACGTAGACGCGGCTCAGAAGGGAAATCGGTCTGTAGTTCTTCAAGAGAGCGTTGTCACCTTTCTTGAAGAACAAGACCACCGCACTTCTGCTCCACGCCTCCGGTGTAATGCCACCATGGAGGACGGAATTAAAGAGCTTCTGAAGGACTTCAAGTACCGGTCTTCCACCCGCTTTCAGAAGCTCCGCTGTAATTCCATCCTCGCCTGGGGCCTTACCGTTTTTAAGGTGCTGGAGAGCCATCCTAATCTCGCTCAGACTGACATCCGGGATATCTTCGGAATATGCTCTGCTAATCACTTGGCAACTGATAAAAGTTGCCCTGAACATACTAGACAAAAAGGCATTAAACTGGTCATGTCCCAAGAAAATATTTCATATTTAGAGGCATCTGCTCGATTTCCTGCAGTTAGAAGACCTTACGCAGATGTAGCTGCATCTTTAGGGATTCCTTGCCCACCCAATTCATCACAACAGTTATCAAGTATTCACCCTGCTCCTCATGCTTCTCAATCTTATAGAAAGACTGTTTTTAGAATTAACCCAACTAGACCTGTTCCAAATTCGGTAGGCTATGATAAGGTAGCACACAACAATATTGTAAGAACCCCTACCTCTTCCCTTCCAAATGGTCATGCTCTTCAAGCTGATTTATCCCCTAATGATAATCTCCTGGAAAACCTCGTGTCCTCCATCTCTGATATAATTGGCAAATTTGACGACATACACCTACCGTTTAACGTGAGAAATAAACTTGACATGCTCTTC